ATTTGCATAGGAATATGAAGATGCTAAACATTGAGAATATCTTCACATATTTCCCTATCTTATTTTTCTTATAAACTGCACATTCTAGTGTTTGGACTTTTTCTTCCAAGTGCTTGTTTGCTCTTGTCATATTTAGAATAATTTCATGAAGTTCCTCATTGTACAAATGCAGCTTTTCATTAGCAGCCTCCATTGACTTTATGTTTTCATTCTTCTCATTCAAAAATTTCAACAAGCCTTGCCCAATCTCCAGCCCCTTTGGACAAATCTCAGGCTCCAACCACTGAAAGTACTTGAAACCACTTGCTTTATGTTAAGAAATTAATAAGTATATTTATATAGTTACAAATACTATTTGTAAATGATGATTGCAATGAATATGAAATATTTTCTTACATCCCAGTTTTGACAGCCTGCAAATCTTCTTCCTGGATTGAGAGGAGTTCAAGTTGTTCGAGTTACAGCATTTTTATGGCACTTGCATGTTGTGCCTAAAAAAATAGACAAATAGTGTCGTGATTTGTGACATGAATGACAATAATCTTGTGAATTTGAGCTATTACTCGACATTTTTTAATATTTAACAAAACAAAAAGGGATATTATCGTGCTTTATAAGAAGGAAAAAATAAGGGAAAAAATAAAAAAATGAAGAAATTTAGAGAAAAAATGATGAAGAATTTTTTTTTTGAAAACCTCTATAACTCACACAAACAAGTAGAGGGTGTTAGTGTTCTAGTGGATTACTAAGTGGGTTAGTGGGTCCTTATTTTATGTTTGTGTATGCTTATATAAAAGTTGTTTCCATTGAAGTTTCAATAGAATATTGCAGTAGTTCCCTTCATCTATTTGTTTTCATTATTATTATCATCTTTATTTACTATCAAGATTTTGGGTTGAAGATGCAGAAATTAATTCTTAATTTCAGGTTTTGGAATGGTGGTGATGGTGGTGGTGCAGCGACGGAGCAGAGGTGGTGTTGGTGTTTGAATTGTGCAAGGTGAAATTCACGTTCGGCTGCCAAGAGGGAAGAGGAAGAAGATGACCAATTCTTCTCCTTTTCTTTTTTTCTTCTTTCTGTTTTTCTATTTTTCTTTTTTCTTATTTTTATTTTTCTAAAAACCTGGTGAGATGGCAAAATTAACCCTCTATTTTCACGTGTGAGTTGCACGTGTGCAATTCAGAGACAAATTTGGCTAAAAATAGACAATTTCGGTGCCGGTGCTACAACTAATAGAGTTTTGGTTGCCCATGCAACTTTTTTTCGTTCAGGGGTAAAGTGCAAAAACGTCTAAAGTTTAGGGAATTTTTACAGTTAACCTTTTATTTATATTTATATATATATATATATATATATATATATATATATATATATATATATATATATATAATAGAATCAAATTAAAAGAAAAAAGAACATGGGAAGAAATATAATTCTGTGCTTTACAAAAATAAAGGATTACAGCAAAGATAATATATTAGCAAATACCACAATCATACTAATGCCATATCTGTATTTATAATTCTTATTGAAAACTTAAAGAATCATTACGCAGCAAGGCTACAGAACCGGTTGATTCGGATTCAGTTCCCCAAGTCTGATCATCGTAGCTTGGAATCTCAGATGATTGCGAAGGTTGAGGAGGAATCATCATATTTTCATCTTCACCTTCTAACATTTTCAAAACATCACTCATTGACGGGCGATCGGTTGGACTCATCTGTATGCACCACAATCCAACTATCGTCATCTTTCTCCTCATTTTTTTCCCATCATCATCGTCTTCCTTTTCTTCATCATCATTATTTTCATACACATTTCCAATTTCAATGTCTTCGCCTTTATTCAAGTGGTCATAAATCCAACACGGAAAATATTGGCTCGATTTGTTTTCAATATTAGGCCCCGTGCCTCTGTTTAACCCCAACATTTCCATCAACAACATCCCAAAGCTATAAACATCGGCCTTGTAAGACACTCCGCCAATGCTTCTATTCATTAGCTCGGGAGCCACATAGCCTATTGTTCCCCTAACTGCAGTGAGAGTCACTGTAGTATTATCTGTTGAATAAAACTTTGCCAGACCAAAATCGGATATTTTAGGTGTGAAATTTTCATCAAGAAGTATGTTGTGAGGCTTTATGTCGAAATGCAGGATTTGTATGTCGCATCCTCTATGCAAATACTCAATTCCACGAGCCACTCCAATTGCAATCTCGTACTTCCTCTTCAGATTAAGTGAATTACCTTTTACCTTATTAAATATGTACTTCTCGAGCGAACCATTAGGCATGAAGTCGTAGACAAGGGCACGTTTGGATCTTTCTGCACAATACCCGACAAGTTTGACCACATTTACATGATGGATCCTTCCAATCGTGGCAACTTCATTGATGAAATCTTGCCCATTTGAGCTAGGCTTAGCAAGTACTTTGACCGCTACATCATGGCCGCTTCGAAGTTTTCCTTTGTAAACAGAACCGTAGCCTCCTTGGCCTAGTTTTTCTCGAAAGCCTTTTGTGATTTTCTTCATATCTGAGTATGTATAGCGGATTGTTTTGAGATTTGTGTTACTTTGCAGGAAGCCTTCAATTACGTCGAACATTGACAAATGCCTTCTTCGAAATTTATAGATCAAAAGACCAAGCATGCAAGGCATTCCAATTACGATCCTCAGTGCTAGGCTGGGCATAAGTATCAAAGCTGGAAACCGAAAACTTTGAAGTTATTAGGGTCACTCACTTCAAATTAGAGAATCCATACAAGCATTGAATTTTTTTTTTTTGTGAAATAAGTTCATAATGGCCTCCTCACAACAAATTTTTCATAATACTAGTTGGGACGGTAAATTAAAAGCTTGCTTTTAGTTACATGATTTAAAATTTATGTAACAAAATAATATTTTGTCTGTTTATAAGAATCTTCATTTAGGCATAGTTTTATATTCTATATGATTCCAAATATTTTTATTTACGTAATATAACTTTGATCATTAATTTAATAAAATAGTACTTTGTCATTTTAAGAGAATCTCCATTTGGGCATATTCTTATATTATAATATGAATCAAAATAGTACTTTGTCATTCTTAATCTCCATTTTAATAGAAAGCCGGCGAAGGTTGGCGACGGGGCTCCGAGCGGAAGCAGGAGCGGATCGATGGAGGGGTGGTTTGTTGGTTTTGAGGAGGAAAGCACGGCCGATGTTTGGTGCGTAGTACATTTTGTTGGAACTCTGTTGGATCCATAAAACAATTTAATTATTTGATTACGGTAATCGACTACAATTTTAAATTTATTTTTTAATATGTTTATTGGTTCTTTGTTTTGCCACATATAATTGGGCTTGGGGGTATTGCGGTGGTGCTTCTTTGTTCGGCCACTATTAATCTATTCACTAGCCTGGAGATTTTTCGTTTATTTTTCTATTACCTAATCCATTAGAGATGTATAATGTTCCAATATTTGATTTTGATGTTTCTATAATTTTTGCTTCGACTTAATTTAGTAGTTGATTACTCTAAGGTATTAGTTAATTAATATATTTTTCGTAGTTAAATAATATATTTTTCAATTGTAGGTGGTGGACATTTACCAATAATCGTTGTTATTATTGCATTTGCGGTTTGTTGGTGGTGGACTTATAGCGGTTAATTGATTTTTTATTTTTTTTTGTGGTTTTTGCGGTTTGTTATTGTTTAGTTCTGATGAATTGTGTTGAGTGCCAGTGACGACATTACAGTTGTTTTTGTTACTTTTAAAGTTGATTGCATTATCGATCACTATTTTAGCAGTCAATTTTATTAATCAACTAAGATTTTAGTAGTCGATTTCTATTAACGACATTACAGTTATTTTTGTTACTTTTAAAGTTGATTGCATTATCGATCACTATTTTAGCAGTCAATTTTATTAATCAACTAAGATTTTAGTAGTTGATTTTTATTATGGTATAAACCTGCCAGGAAAATAAGTTTAAACATACAAGAAAAATGAAAATCAATTTAAGAAAAAAAAATGGAGATGGTGTGTAGTAGAAAGAAGATAGTTGAACGGTAATTTTGAGGTTAAAAAATATCGTGGGTTTAAATGGAGAAAATATAAAAATGGCTAAACGCAAAACAAGCTAAAATTCAGGCGGCAAAGTGCTATCTACAGGTAAAGATATGTTAATGGATAAGATCAAAAAAAAATTTAAAAAGATATTCAACAATTTGATACTCACCTATGCCATCCCAAAGAAGAGTAAAAAGCAGTTTACCCCCTAAACTATAGCCCGTTTTGCACTTTACCCCCTAAACAAAAAAAATTTGCACGTTTTTACCTAAACTACGGTTTTCGTTGCACGGTGCCTTAAAAAGGGAATATTCCGGGCATTTTTGCCGGAATCCCACACATATGCATTTCACGTGATTTTTCTGAGGGTAAAACCGTCTCATCACTTAAAAACTAACCTAGGGTTGTATTTCCCCCTTTTCCTCTCCCCTTTGTCCAATTTTCCCTCCAAATATAACCCATATTAATACTCACATTAAACATTGAACAAATTAAAAGAAACTTAAAATTTAAAAAAGTTGATTCCATAGATTTAGCAAGAATCTTTAATTGCAAACTTCGACAGTTCTTCGTCGAAATATCGGACATACGTAAACGAGTACATAAACGAAAACCTATACAGAAACATACAATCTGCATTTACTAAAAGAAAACATTCGACACTTTTTATAATTAATATAAATTCAGTAATTCCACAAGCAATCGAGGTCAACTTGTGCAGTCGAAATAATCGGGAATTCTTGATCTTCATAAGGCAAATATCCCACTTCGTTGTACGACGACATAGCGGAACACATATCCTGCGAGAATTCCCCATCACCGTTTCGCTTCGTATTAGAAAAGCTTTTGCTATCGAGGAAACAGAATTCTGAGGTAGAACAAACGGAAAAGGCGAGAAACGGAAGTTTCTCGAAGAAGATGAAGAACTGAAGTCATCGAACGGTGTTATATTATATCTCGTGGGTCCTCCATCGGATTGGAGAAGCAGGTCACGTGAGATCCCTCAGCAGCACGTGCACAAGTGGTTCTTGTATGATTTTCGTCAGACGAAAAATCCATCAACTGAGGCAAATCGGACGCCGCCTCTGAATCGACCCCGCAGTTTCTATTCCTTGCAAACCCTGATATAGGCACTATTTTCCCATCACTACTCTTCTTAAATATTCTGCATATCACCCATTCATTCTGAAAATTTAATAAGAAAAACAAAAAAAAAAAACAACCATCAGCAAACAACAAAATAAAAAATAAATAAAAATAAAAACAGGGGAAAACAGGGGAATATACATTAGCAGTTTTGGGGAGATTTTGCAAGAATGCTTGCCCTCCAATCGATATTCGTGCATAACCCAATTGGTTTTTTCCACTCTCTCGCAACCACCGACCATCAACCCCACCCCGGCAAATCATCATTTCCACCTCTAAACTATTTCCAACCCGCCGCCGCCATTACTTGCCCCATTTCCTCCTTCGTTTGCCGACCGAGTGTTCGACCAATTTTTCTTTTTAAGAAATCACCATCTCCGCCGCTGCTCCTCCGACGTCAAAGATCCTAACCCCATCCCCATCTTCTATGGATCTATGAGCAAAATAGGATTTGAAGACATTTTATTTAACTGAATCTTGGCCGCCGAGGAGATGTAGTGCACCAATTATCGGAGATCGATGGTGCTGTTATTTTTTCGCCGGAGAATGTTACCTGGCTCGCGGACGAAGCTATATCCTTGGAAGGAGGAGGAGTGGTGGTCGTCGAAAAATTTTGGAATTTTTTTAAATTATTGTTTGAGATTTTTTTGGTGCAGAAAGGTGGGTGATGGTCTCGTGGGTTTTGGGGAAGAAAGGTGGGTTATGTGGTCTGTTGGATGACAGCTTTTTTTCCTTTATTTCCTCTTTTTCTTTTTTCTGTTTTTTTTTTTTCTTTTTTTTTTTTTGTCTTTTTTTTCTTTTTTTTAATATGTATTTGTAATTAATATTAAAGATGTAAGTGAATGGGCGAATTTACCCCTCAAAATCTCACGTGCAAAGCACATGTTTTAACATTCCGGTCAAAATTGCCTGAAAATTGAGTTTAGGGGGCACCGTGCAACGAATTAACGAGTTTAGGTAAAAACGTGCAAATTTTTTTTATTTGGGGGGTAAAGTGCAAATCGGCCCTTAGTTTAGGGGGCAAACTGCTTTTTACTCTCCCAAAGAATCTTCACGATCCCTACACGTACACATGTATATGATTAGGAAAGGAGCAGACACAATACGAGTATTATAATAGTTTGATAAGGAGTGTAACCAATCTAAGGAAATGGTTTATATATCATATTCATATTCATATTACACTTCTTTGTTTTCTTTGACCGCTATTTGACTAATTTTCTCAATAAAAGAACTAATAAATAAATTAAAGATTAAAGGAAAAATCCTTCAAATATTGTTAAAAATCGTAAAAATGATGTCAAAAGTCCATTTTGGTCACTGGTAAAATGATTACGTTACTTTTTACTTTTTATTAGGATAAACTAACGCATGTTTCAAAAAAATTGAATTCAGGTATTTCAACACCAATTATACGATGACCAATTGAAACTTGCGGTAACCTTTAGGCTGGTGTTATTTGATAGGAATGAATTGTAAATGAGTTCAAGTGGGGAGAATTAGAAGTGACTGTAAATGAGAAGGGTTTTCATAATCCACCTTAATTGTTAAAAACAACTGAAAAATGAGAGATATTATGAATTTGAAGTTTATTACCAAACCACTCAATCCAAATAAGCCCAAAAATCAAGATGGTCCACCTGAATTTGGTATTAACTTTTGAAAAACTTCCTTTTACCCTATAATTTGACTAGTACTTTTCAATAATAGACACAAAAGCATCAAGTGTAATATTCTCTTCTAGTGACAAGCAAATCATTCAAGAGCATTATTCCCTTCTAGTGATAAGCAAAATCTTGAAATTGCAATAGATTTTTTTAGGGTTAATACACTTTCCACCCTGTACTGTGAAAAAGGTCGCATTCACCCCCTCAGTATTAAAAACTATAAAGACTTCTCTAATTTTGACAGCCAACCAACATAAATTAACGGTTTTAAATTTTGCAGTGCAATTACTCTTATACCCTCTCATTTTGTCTTTTAATTTCTCAAAAATTCTCAGCCACCCACCACCAAAATCAAAAAGTGGAGACGATGATTTCCCTACCACCATCACCATCGATCCCCTCCCGTCGAAAGGATACACCATCGCCGCCACCACCACCACCATTCGGGTTTATGTTATAATGAGTTGTTGTCGTTTGGTGGTGTGACGGGATTTGGACAGTTGTTGGTGGTGGGATGGGATTTGGATGATTTTTAGAAGATGATGAAGATAAATATTGCTGAATATTTGTATAGTTAGGAGGACGGTGGGAAGAGAATTGTTTTCTAAGTTTCGATGGTTGGATAGGGCAAGGAGGATTCTTGTACATATCTTTATTTTATTTTAGGGCGAATGGCCAAAAGGCCCATCACATGGGACTTAAATGCATTTTGGTCCAAAAAAAAAACAGTCTCAATTAAACCCATCCCCATGTCTTTAGTCTAAAATACCCTCAATAATATAATTCTTATCAATTCCACCCATTATGCTCTAACTTCCTTAATATTACACATTGACCCCGGATTTAAACAAATATATCACATTAACCCCCAAAACTTTTTTTTTTCAGAAAATAATTTTTTTTCTGAAATATTTTTTTTCTGGTCAGATTCCGGCATTGACTTTTTTTTTCCTGAAATTTTTTTCCAGCCGGTCAAGCACCGTTGACCGCTGGTCTCCGGCGTTGACTTTTTTTTTTTTTTTTTTGAATTTTTTTTTCTTAGAAAAAAAATATTTTAATTAATATTACTGTTTTGGCTACTAAATTATTGTCTCAGAAAGTAATATTACTGTGTGGGACACTAATATTATGAATATTATTTTTCAGAACAGTAATATTATTAATATTATTGTCTAAGACAGTTAAATTACTGTTGGAGACAGTAACTTAGCATCCAATGAAGTAATATTAATTAAAATATTTTTTTTTAAGAAAAAAAAGTCAATTAACAGTTAAATTACTGTCTCCTACAGTTAAATAACTGCTGGAGACAGTAATTTAGCAACGAATACAGTAATAATAATTAAAAATATTTTTTTTAAGAATAAAAAAGTCAATTAACAGTTAAATCACTATCTCCAACAGTTAAATAACTGCTGGAGACAGTAATTTAGCAACGAATACAGTAATATTAATTAAAATATTTTTGAAGGAAAAAAAAAAGTCAATTAACGGTTAAATTACTCTCTCCGACAGTTAAATAACTGCCGGAGACAGTAATTTAGCAACCAAGACATTAATATTAATTATTTTTTTTTTAAGAAAAAACAAAATTATAAAAAAAAAAAAAGTCAACGCTGGAGACCGGCAGTCTTCGGCGGTCAACGCCGGAATCTGGCCGGAAAAAAAATGTTTCAGAAAAAAAAATTATTTTCTGAAAAAATAAAGTTTTGGGAGTTAATGTGATATATTTGTTTAAATCCGGGGTCAATGTGTAATATTAAAGAAGTTACAGCTTAATGGGTTGAATTGATAAGAATTAGGGTTAAAATTGGGGTCAAAATTGGAGTCAAAATTGAAATTAGGGTTAAAATTGGTTAATTGATGAAATTGGGCTAAATTGGGGTGTAAATCATGAAATTGGAGTTGAATTGGGTTTCAATAAATTGGGGGTAATTTTGGTATATATAAAAGGATTTTTACTTATTTGCAAATAAGTTTGAATGAGTTGGATTTATTTGAAAGACAAAAAAGTTGGATGTCCCTCTTTTAATTAAGTGTCCTTGTCATGGGCTTATTTGCCATTACCCCTTTATTTTATAATATTTATTGAATTTCTATAATAAATTATATTTTTTATTATTTTTTGTCATTTTATAAATTATTAGAGCATATTTCATTATTTAATAATTTCTATTATTTTTTGTAATAAATTTATAATTAGCAATTTAAAATTTTCAAAATTATAATTATTTATGATCAATAATTGAAACTTGAAGTTTTACATTTTATAATTGTTTCTATAATCTTATAATTTTTCTGTTAATTATATAAAATAGTATATATATATATATATATATATATATATATATATATATATATATATATATATATATATATATTATTGAAATATATGTGGTCAACGTGCCACATCAGCTTTCAGCTTTGACTAGCAGAATAACTAACGACATGTTTTTTTTTGTAGTTTTTAATACTACAGGGGTGAATGCGACATTTTTCATAGTATAGAGGTGCAAACAGTATTTTATCCTTTTTATGTTTTTTTTCGTTGGGATTTATAATTGTGAGCAAAATTTTGTAAATTGAAGATTTTTTTTTTTTTATAATTCAGGCATATATTAGGGAGTTAGTTTACCTTAGAATTGAATAATTAGATGATAAATGAAGAATTATTTGAACAACAAAAGAGAGTTAAAGAATTACTAACATTGAAGAGGAACGACCAACGAAGCTGGGAAGTAACCTGCATGAATAAGAGCATTAGAATGACATAAATGTATTGATTGAATCTTAATAGTGTAAAATTTTAAAATGTTCAAGTGATGAGAAAATGTTCTTCTATGCATGAAAAAATGATGAACAATATTACATAAACATAATTGATTGAGTCTTACCGCAAAACCTATAGTATCGTCCACCAATTGACCATGGACTGTATACACATTCCTTGTACAAACGCAAAAACCACGAAACCTCAAAACCATATAGCAGAGCTTTGTGCATAGTTGAAAAGGAAACATTCTCTTCTATTTTAAGTGGCAATGAAGTCATCAGCACGAAGTCTATTTTGCACATATCCTTTATTTGGTGTAAATCTGTGCCAAACATTATATATGCGCGACTTCCATTCACGCCATATAATTTTTTGTCTGCACAATGAGAAGTAATTTCCAAAAGCTTCGAACCATTGACTGAATATGGGCAGCTCATAAAACTAATTGGAACACTTTCTAGCACATTGTAGGGATGAAAGGGATAAAACATGTACTCCAATAAAGGGTATTTGGGGAATGAGCAACTCTCAATTAGTGTGACATTAGGAATAGCAAGACGGATGGTCTCTTTGGTAGAGTTGATTTCGTGGACGAGGTGTTTTAGAGAACCGATGTATATTGAGGTGGTATTGTTTTCGCATAAAAGTTCGAAGTGGGGATGACCGCAGCGTTTTGGATCAGTCATGAGCCTGAAAGGATAGCTAATATTGCGGATTTCGCCACATGAAGAAGGGGTGCAGTTGATTTGGTTTCCATGGGATTTTTGGATGAAATATAATTGGGTTGTGATGAACAAATAAATGAATTTGAGGAGGAGGCTTTGGCTGAGGATATACATCTTTGTGTATGAATATTTGGTGATCAATTTGAAGAGCTATCTATAGCTTATAAGTTTGGGGATATGATTAATTAGATGGAAGAGATGAGAGAAGACTGCAGTAATGTGTGAATGTAGTTTGTTTTTTCGCTAAGAATAATTCACCACAACTTGTATGGAGGAAAATTCAAGTCCACCAACTACTTGCAGAGGAAAATTAATATCACATTTTCTAAAAGAATTAATATACTTGTTTGAAGAAACTATTGGAGCAATAAAAAGATTTTTGGAGGATATATTGATGGGTGAAGATTGATGTGTGTGTGTGTTGAAGGACTGAGTCTTCTTCACAATAATTAAACAAGTAGTCTACCGTGAAATTTACGCTTGTGTGTGGTGTTGCTTCTTCAAAAGGGACAACTATCACATAACAGGTCATGATTAAGGAAAGAGTCGAGTAATTTCCGTCAAATTATATTGGAGCTAATTGCCAATACCTTTCCTATGTAATCTCTAATTGGCAAATACTCTCTCTAAAAAAAAAAACTCACCAAATCAAAATTGTCTTTTTAGGCATTGACTAAAAGTGAAATGACAAAAATGCCCTATGGATTTTTCAGCAATTAGTAAAATATATATTGTACAGATTTATTTTTTAAAACTTCTCAACTCTATAATTAATTTAATTAAACCAAATTTTATTACACAAATTTTTTTTTGTGTAGTTATTTTTAATTTTATAAACTTATTTATTAATAATTTTGTAATTACAAAATATAAACAGAAATTAAACATATATTGTTGTATTAAAAGATTTTATATGTTTTATATTTTTGTTATATTACATTTTAATTTACATTAAAAAAAAAGGTTAAATACAAAAACACCCATGTACTATGAACTTTGTATCAAATACTACTACACATAAATACAACAACCCCCTTCACATTACATTTTTTTCAAAATATGACGAAAATACCCCTACTTAGCCTATAAACATAAGGGTTTGTTTGAGCCATTTTCCACTATATTTTTAACATTTTCGGTCAATTTTGCTTGGCAAATTTTGATATTTATATTTTTTTCTCCAAAACATTAAATTACTTAGTTTTTTTTTTTTCTCAATAAAACCTTTTATTTTTGTCATTTTGAATTTCTTCATTTATTTCTTAACTGTCTTCCGGTAGTTCAAATTCTCAACAATCATAGGATTGTAAAGATGTTTGTAATCTTATGATGTTTGAACTACCGGAAGAAATTTAAGAAAAGAAAATGAAGAAACTCAAAATGTCAAAAATAAAAGATTTTTATCAGAAAATTAAAAAAATATAAGCAATTAGATGTTTTTGAGAAAAAAATATAAATACCAAAATTCCCCACGTAAAATTGACTGAAAATGGCTCAAACAAACCCTTATATACATATATATACTTAAGTAGGGGTATTTTCGCCATATTTTGAAAAAAATATAATGTGAGGGGAATGTTTGTATTTATGTGTAGTACAGGGGGTATACGATACAAAATTCATAGTACAGGGGTATTTTTGTATTTAACCCTTAAAAAAAAGAAGAAGAAAAAAAAAACAAAAATAAGTCTTCTTCTTCCCCGCTCCACCCCACCCCACCCCGGGGAATACGATGCTACACCTGGTGATTTTCACCGGGTGGCTCTTTTCTTGGCATGTGTTCTCTTTTATTTATTTTATAATTATAATTCTAAAACCCATTGGGCCATAACTGAACCCGTAGTGAGAATCTTATTAATTATGGTGCCTGGTTATATTCACCAGGTGTAGCATAGAATTTCCCCCCAACCCCACCAACCACCCAAATCAACACTTCTTCTCCCCCACGCACCTTCCCCACCATCGGCTCACCTTTCTTGCACCCCATCTTCGCGTAGTACAATTTCTCCTCCAATTCCACTCTTCCTATGGCAACCCATATCTGCAATTTGAACAAAGGCGGCGACGACGGCGATTATGTGCTGGAGAAGAAAAATCTTACATATACACAACTCTCTCTCGCTAAGAAATGGGTGGTGCCAAACGGCGGCGGTGACCAGGGAGAGAAATTTGAAGGAGTAGGTGGGTAGCGGTGGTGCGAGACGGGCCAGAAGGCGGCGGTGACAAGGGAGAGAAATTTGAAGGAGTAGGTGGATGGCGGTGGTGCGAGACAGGCCAAAGAGCGGCGGTGGTGCTAGACGGGCCAGAAGACGGCGGCGATGCCGAACTTTTTCTAGGTTGGGAGGTGGGCGGCGGAATGGAACGAGGAAGAAGATCTGAAAAAAAAATCAATTTTTGTTCCTTATTGCAATTTTGGAAATTTTAAAGTTTACAATTTGGTCCTATAAATTATAGTTATTTATAATTTGACCACTCGGATTTTTTTTTTATTTATACAGGGGTATCTATGACATTTCACCCTAGAAATAACATAAAAATTCGTAGAGCCCGCGAGGGAGAGACACGATTTGCCTTAAGGGATCTCGATGCATTGACTTTGGTTACACAGGGGGCATTGGTGAGTTTTTTTTAAGGGGGTATTTGCAAATTAGTAATTACAAAGGGGAGGTATTTACAATTTGCTCAATTATATTGTACTGAATTTGTTGGAGAGAAAACAAATAAATCACCATCTGAATTCTCATCAGTTCCACCACTATCAATTGGCTTACAAGGTCCTTGGGGCTATCCGGGTTTCGATCTAAACTGCAACAACAAAAATGATACTGTTCTTGTGCTTCCCTCCTCTGTAAATGTTGTTGTGAAGGAAGTCAACTATAATTTAGCCGAAGTCAACTATAACTCATTCATCAGTTAGTTATATTAAGGGTTAAATACACTTTACACCCTTAAAGTATGACTATTGTAACACTTACCTCCCTGAAATATCACCTGTAACAGTTACACATTATAGTTACACATTATTTACTGAAGAATTTAATTGGAAAAAAACTATCTCAACTAACTGAACAATGCAATAAATACTATATAAATATAAAATATTTATCTAGCTAGGTGGCACTCGAATAAATGCTTAAAGAAAAAAAATAAACATGATTGAATTAATTTATTAAATAAGTTGAGAACAAAAATTATTACATACATCCAAATTTTTACAATTGGAAAATGCTAGGATCGAATATTTTTTTTTGATTTCGAGTTTTGTTTATTGTGGGTGCATGATATATTAATTTGTTTTTTGAACAATACTCAAACTGTAAATTTGAATTTTTAATTAGTTGAATTTTCTTGTAAAAAACGTGAATCAATCTTTTTTTTCTTTAAATTATTTCATTCAATAAGTTAGGATGATTTTAAAATAAAAATAAATGTATTGGCATTTTCAGTTATTATTTTTAATTAGATAGTTAAAATAAAAATAAAATATGTCACCCAATAATAAATAATAATGTAAAGGGTATGAGTGTCATTTTAAATTTAATGTGCACTTTCTATAACAGGTAAGGGGGTAAGTGTTACATTATATACTCCAGGGAGGTAAGTGTTACGAGGGTCATACTTTAAGGGTGAAAAGTGTATTTAGCCTTTATATTAATATTCAATTTAAGGTCGAGATTCCGGTATTCGAAATGGAATTCCGATGACAAAATTTTATCTCCAGCGATAAAAATAATAAATATATGGTTCATTAAGTAGAAAATGAGGTGGAGAGGAATGACAGAAAGAAGGGGGAGAAAGTGGAGAAAGAAGAAACAGAGAAAGAGGAAGAAACGTGAGAGAGAGAGAGAGAGAGGAAAGAGGAAGAAACGTGAGAGAGAGAGAGAGAGAAAGAGAGAGAGAGGAAAGAGTAATAAATAACCGTGATGTTTGTTGGGAAAGGAAAAAGAGCGGAATAGAAAATGGAGTGATAATCAGAAAAAATAAGAGAAATAAGGTAAATGAAGAAAAACATATGGATAAAGAAGAAGATGTAGAAAGAAAAGGCAGTAGCGTATTACCAATAAGGCTAGGGGTCCAACAATTCATAATACCCGTTTTGGATTTGCTGACAAATGTGCAATTATAAAATTGATCTGGCTCTGTTATTTTGTGTTTTAAGCGGGTTATCCCTCATTTTCCCTGTAAAGTATTATGTATTTCATTATTTCATAAATTTTTTAAGTACCAAATGGCAAATATTACTTTATAATTTATAATTTAATATATTGAAATCAAATAAAATGCAAACAAAATATATTAAAATAGAAAAAACGTATTAAAAAAAAAAAGAAAAAAAAGGTGTTAGGGGCAATTCTGTCATTTCACACAAAAAAGGAAGAAAATTCGCAGAACCCACGAGCGAGACCCACGATCTGCTAGGACCCCCTTGTGTTATGACAAACCTGTACC